TGAAGTCCCCCAGTACTATTGTATTGGGGTTTAAGTCTCCCTTTAAGTCCCTTAACAAATATTTTAAATAAACTGGTGCCCTGTAATTAGGTGCATATACATTGATAATCGTTATATATTCCTGTTGAATTGATCCCTAAATCATTATATAGTGCCCCTCTTTGTCTCTCCTAACAGTTTTTGTGTAAAGTTTATGTTGTCCGATATTAAGATGGCTATGCCCGCTCTTTTTTCATTTCTGTTGGCATGGTATATCTTTTTCCAGCCTTTCACTTTCAGTCTGTATGGATCTTTATTGGAAAAATGTGTTTCTTGTAAGCAGCAAATAGATAGGTTTTGTTCCTTTACCCAATCAGCCAATCGGTGTCTTTTAACTGGACAGTTCAGGCCATTAACGTTCAATGTGACTATTGATAAGTAGTAGCTTTGTCCTGCAATTTGCCAAAGATATTTTCTGATATATGTTTTGAACTTCCTGTTTATCTTTTGGTGTGAGATTTCCTTCATTTACCTTCTTTCATATTGATGACCGTGTTTCTGTGTTTCTGTGTGCAACACATTTAAGCATCTTTTGCAGGGCTGGACGAGTGGCCACAAAGTCTTTCAATTTCTGTTGTGCAAGGTCTTTATTTCACCTTAACTCACAAATGAGAGCTTAGCAGAATATAATATTGTGGGCTGGCAGTTTTTCTGTCTTAGTACCTGGGCTATGTCTCGCCATTCCCTCCTAGCTTGTAGGGTTTCTGATGAGAAGTCAGCTGTGAGTCTGATTGGAGATCCTCTGAGAGTAATCTGACGTTTCTCTCTTGCACATGTTAGGATCTTTTCTTTATGTTTCACTGTGGTGAGTTTAATTACCACATATCATGGTGAGGATCTCTTTTGGTCATGTTTATTATGGGTTCTATGAGCTTCCTGTACTAGGATGTCTCTGTCCTTCTCCAAACCTGGGAAGTTTTCTGCTAATATCTCACTAAAAAGGCCTTCTAATCCTTTCTCCCTCTCCATGCCTTCAGGATCTCCTAGAACCCAAATGTTGTTTTTTTTTTAATAGTATCCTGAAGATTCCTGACAGTATTTTTTAGATTTCTAATTTCCCCTTCTTTTCTTTGGTTTGTTTGTATATTTTCCTGTGCTCTATATTCTTTTTTTGTTTTTTGGATTTAGTCGATATTTTTTACAGCTTTTTTTGTTTTTTACATTTCAGATCATTCACAATTACATTTTCTCATTTTCTGACCTGCAAACAGATACCTTAAAATAAATATTTTTTTAAAAATATTATCAAATTAGGTGCATCCAAAATGCAACAATTACACATAATGACAATTAATTCACAAAGTGTAATTCACTAGGATGTATCCTAAGAATTTAGGAACAGCCAGTCAGGAGAAATCTGACCAAATTTAGCTATCAACCATTTACATATCCAGAAATCAAATGTATCTAAACTCCCAAACTAAAAGCTTGAAAGTTTTGTCAAATTCCCACAGGACAAAAGATAAAGATTCAAACCTATCCATTTTTTGACAGTGTTGATCCCAAATAGTAGCCTATTTCCCCAGTCTAACTGAATAGCAAGCATCTGTTTGTGAAACACCCAAGTATCAAACTTTTACACCAATATGCACATAAAAAGGCTGTTCATTAATTTAAAAACTAGTAGTCATTAAATATCCACACTATCCTCCCAGCTCACTAGCCCTTACTACAATCCCAAATATTCAACCCATGTCACATAGTGACAGGCCATATTTTATATAGGTGTGTGTGTGTGTCTGCATATACACACACATACAGATTTAGGTACAAATGGCAATTAACAGTCCCTGCAAAAATTCAATTTCACTTGAGGCTATGGCTCCTATGCCTTGGGATGGTTTTAGATTTCAGAACTGAAAAATACTGCTAAAATCTCACTTCCTTAAGACAAAATTTGATTGCATGTTCAGTTTAAGCTTCTCAGTCTAAAAATGGCTATAAGTTAAGTATAAAAATGTCAGCCAACTGAGTGCAATTTCTCTCTCCAATTTGGCCAAGCTACCTCATAGAAATTATTCCTGACTAGACTAGAATATCTATGGCGCCTTCCAATGGTCCTTGCCTACCTTACTGTCCGTGTTCACGTTTCAAACTGTGTCAAAAGAGCCCGCACTTCAGGGGTCAGCTGCTTGGCTGCCTTGGCTGCCTCTGTGATGGCCTTGCGATACAGGCCCTTTCTCTTATTAAAGCGTGACTGGAAGTTTTCTAGAAAGGGAGAGAGTTGCGAAAGAGCAAGGAAAGATGTTGTTGGAGACCCAAACCATGAAATACGGGCCTCCTGTCGGATCAATAGGCCATTATCTTTCCGGCTCACGGTTATAGTAAGAATACGGGCTGGCCACCAAGGAAAGCCATATATCTTAGCCCAAACAATGTGCCCTACACATATGGTCCTGCCATCTGGTGTGATGCATTGAGAGACGTTTTTGGAAAAGATTTTCATTTTCGAAGAATTACTGAGCTTTTTCTCTTCCTTTGAAGAGGAGGAAGTGGAGGAGGTGGAAGGTGCATGCATACTGCTTGGAGGAAAATCAAAGCTTTCAGAAGAGCTACACTCAGAGTTGGAAGATTTCAAATCATCTGTGCTATCAATGCTACACACTGAAGCACTGGAAGAGTCAGATTTCTTTTGATTTAGGGTCATGTAAACAGAGATATTGCTTTTGCTGCCCTTTTTGCCCAATGTCTGTGGTTCATCCTGCTCACCAGGCACATGCACTTCATTTGTGTCCTGAACCTCACTGCTGGCCTCTTCAGGGCCTTTTGAGGGACTCTGAGTTTCTGAAGGGGCCTCACCTGCTGAGCGGGTAGAGGTGCAGTGGGACTGGGGTTTGGACGCCATCTTGCCACTCCTTATTTTCTCAAGTCCCGTCTTCAGAGAAGAGTCATTTTCTTCATTCCTGTACCTCTGCGGTTTTAAACGAACCCAGGGAGGAAGGGAACCTGAGCTAGGATTCTGATAGCGACGTGTGAAATGGACTTTTGAATGCACATTTTTGGAAGTAGAGGTTTCACTTTGCTTCTTTTGTGCCTTTTCTTTGGCAATTTTCAACACATCCCGAGCTTTCGCATGATCCATATTCTTACTCTGGAGCACTTTTTTAGTATTTAACTGAGCTTTTGATGTATTTGCCTGAGCAGAAACTTTAACTACTCTGCCTCTGCTGTGAGCAATATTTGAAACTTTAACCACGACATTTCTTTTCTGGCTTTCATTTTGGTTTTTCCCATCCACTTTATGGTCAGTTTTCAGTTTTTTGTTCACAGTAGTTACACTTTCATTTCTCCGCTTTTTGTCTTCATATTTAGTAGAGTCACTTACACTACTACCTTTTCTAATTTCCTTTTTTTCAGCAACAACACTGTTTTTACATTTATCACATAGGACTTGCCTGGGGCGTAGTTTAATAGCATTCATTATTGATGTGGGTTCTTCCCTGTACATTTTTCGTTTGGGTCGCTTAATTTTCCGAGGAGGTGGCTGAGGTATTGATTGGTTATATGTGTCCCTGATAAACAAAGGGAGAGGATAAGGTGCTCCTTCGTGGAAGAGAGGTGGTGGTTTGGAAGTCCACAAGCTTTCAGCCAAGTTCAGCTCAGGCGGTGGGACAGGAGAAGGGTCCTCAGGAGCAGCACCATTCACTTCGTGCTTGACCTCTATCCCTTCTTGGAATGTGTTACTTTGCAGCTGCATGGCTTCCGGTTTATCCTTATATTCCCTTTTGGGAAATACTGTCACAGGGATCCCATGAGGCCCAAACCTTTTGGACAGATTCATGAGGACTCCTGAGAAGACCTTCTCCCCGAGGCGGAACGACACGACGAGCGCGTCCTCAATGATGTGGTCCAGCGTGACCCGCACCTCTGAGCCCGGGATCAGTTGCGACCCCGCGGAGTCCCCGCCCGCCCGCGGCACGAGCGCCGGGGCTGCGGGCTGGGGCAGCGGCGTCTCCTCGCGCTCCTCCGGAGCCGGGGGCTGCTTGGGCGGCGGTGCAGGGGAGGGAGGAAGGTCGGGTCCTTCCTGAGGAGCAACTGCCGCCGGCTCCTCCGGGCAGCTTCTCCTCAGCCTCGAGCTCCGGCCCCGCTGCCTCCGGGCTGCGGGCGAGCTCCCCTGGCGGCGGCGGCGGTGGCGGTGGCGTCGGCGTCGGCGGCGGCGGGTCGTCGGCCTGAGGAGCTGACTGTTGCCCGTCTGCCTCGCCGTCCGGCACAGACGCTTCAGTGGCCATGACCTGGAGGGGGTCAGTGCCGGCCTCGCTGCCGGGGATGGGCTCCATCTCCGGCTTGGCCTCGCCGGCGCCCCCCTCCCCGGGGGACGCTGCAGTCGCTGCCGCCTCTGCAGCCACAGCCGCCATTTTCATCCTGGCTTTTCCCTCCTCCAACTCCGGTTGCAGCTGAGGCGGCGGCAGCGGCGGCAGCAGCAACGCTGCTTGGTTCCCTTTGTGCTCTATCTTCTTAGTCTGATATTCTCTCTTCTGCTTCACCCATTCTGTTTTTAAGGCTCTCTAATGTGTTTGCCATTTGATCTATTGAATTCTTCATTTCATTATGATTTCTCGTCACTATCACAGTTTCATTTTCTACTAGTTTCATTTCATTTTGATTCCTCCTTAATATTTCATTTTCATGAGAGAGATTTCCTATCTTGTCCATTAAGGATTTCTGTAGTTCGAGAATTTGTTTTTGAGAACTTCTTAATGTTCTTATCATAAATTTTTTGAGATCTGCTTCTTGCATTTCTTCTATCTCATCATCTTCATAATCTTGAATTGGGGTGTCTATTTCGTTTGGGGCCTCATAATGTCTCCCTTGTTCTTGTTTCATCGGCTTTTGCGTTTGTTTGGCATATTGGAGATATTCTTTTTTTTTCTCGTTATGCTGTGACTCTAGATTAAGAAGACTGTCTGCTTTTGATGGATCCTTAGAGGCTGTGATGGGTGTGGCCAGAGAGCTCTGGTTCTACAGGGTTAAGGGTGTGCCAAAGGTGATTCACCCTGATTGTTTCCTTGTTTGCTCTCACGCTCTCTCTTTTTTTTTGACTCAGTTGGGAAGTAATTCCACACAGCTGAGTGGAACTGAGAGTAGTTGATGTATGAAATCTGGCCCCTGTGGGTATTCATTTGCTCATCAGAGTCATGTTTTTCTGCTTGGCTAATGAGGGGCACCCACTTTACATATGCAAAATGGCATGCACCACTTTACTTACATAAAATGGCTTCTGCCCTTTGTCTTGCTCGGCTTTGTAAGGTGAGTGGAGAGAGAGGCTAAATGTCCGTGCTGATTCCCCTTATTTATTCGATTTTTTCTCTCCTCCAGCCAGCCTGGTGAACTTTCCCCAATGGGGTTTCAGGTCTCGTTCTCTGCAGGCTCTTTCTGCCTTTCCCCGCCAATGTCTCGGGTTACCGAGAGGTTTTTTCTCACCTCCCCTCCAGTGCTGGCACGCAGATTCTGCAGCTCCGGTGGGTCCGGCGGGTCCAGCAGGTCCGGCGGCTCCCGCGGCTTGGGTTCCACACGGTGGGCGACCTTGCTCTCCCCGTAGGTCCTCTGAGTCACAGCCACTAGATCCGGAAGAGTTTCCTCTGCAATTTTTCCCTGATCCTTTTCCTGAGGCTACCGTAACTCCACTTTTATTAAACTATCTTTCCCCGGACTATCGGTGCGCTCTCACTATTCTGCCATCTTGGCGCCGCCCCCGCTTGTATATTTTTCAACAGAGAAAGGATGTAGAATGTTCCTGACACAGAGAGGGAGGAAATGTTTGTAGGGGTGAAATACGCCCACTGCCCTGATCTGATCACTCTGCATTGTGACCTTGTGTCAAAGTATCACATTGCAACTGAGAAACATGTGCACTTATTATGTGTCACTTAAAACAACAATAATAATTGAAAAAGTAAAATGAGGGGCTGGTTCTGTGGCATAGCAGGTTAAGCCACCATCTGCAGTGTCAGCTGGCATCCCACATGGGTACCAATTCAAGTCCTGGCTGCTCCACTTCCCATCAAGCTCCCTAGGAAAATCATTGGAAGATGACCCAGATGCTTGGGCCCTGTACCCATATGGGAGACCCAGATGAAGCTCCTGGCTCCCAGCTTTGGCCTGGCCCAACCTTGGCCACTGGGGCCATGTTGGGAATGAGCCAGTGGATAGAAAGATCTTTCTCTCTCTCTCAATAAATATCTTTGAAATAAATTAATTTTTTAAAAAAGTAAAATGAGCCCAAAGGTAACAGCTACAGGTGCCTGTGCTGAAATGCCTTCCAAGAATGACAGAGGAGACCTGTCCTTGCTATAGTGAGTAAAGCTGGCATGCCATATCGGCACATGTTTGAGTCTCGGATGCTCCACTTCCAATCCAGTGCCTTGGTTACAGTCTGAGAAAGCAGCGGAAGATGGCTCAAGTGCTTGGGCCACTGCATCCACGTGGGAGACCAGGAAGAAGCTCCAGGCTTTGGTCTGGCCCAGCCCTGGTCATTGTGGCCATCAGGAGAGTCTCCAAGGCCATCTTGACCATAACACCCCCTCCCGCATGCCTGTGGGTGTCCCGGTCCACGGGGTAATCAACTAGGACATGAGGAGGGCAGACCTGAATGGAGAGACAAACCAGACACAAGAAGGGAGACCAAGACAGTACTCTGATCAAGGTCTCACTTTATTGGAGAAGGAGGTAGCTTATATAGTACAAGGCAAGGATTGTAACAGTTGAGGGTAAGCAGGGGTCATCTTACAACGTAGTTCAAAGGAATAATTTCACAGGAATCAGTATTAATTTGACAAAGGGAGTTACAGCGAGGTCTTACAGCTACCAGACGTGCTTATTGAGGTACAATAAAGAGAGCACTGAAGCCAAATGGCCAAGCGCTAACCATATCAGTGAGCTGTACAAATGGAATTTTCTAGTGAATCTTCCTTACAGGAACACAGTTGAAGGTTAGTCTAAACAAAGGCCTATATAGGGAAACCAGCACAGTGGCTCCCAACATGTGGGTTTAGGGCTGGGAAGGGTAACGCCCAGCAGGGATGCATTTGTGTTGCTGCTATTTAACCGGGTGATTTGCCACAGCAGCCACGGAGATCTCAGCTCTCAGAGAGGTCTGAGAATTACTCAACCCCTGCATCCACCAAGACCTGCTCTTTCCACATGGATAAAAAAGCCCAGACACCCATACCCTGCTCTATGGGGCTCCAGATCAGGCATTTAAACCTCTCTGCTCACATGCAGCAGCTAAGGAGAAAGACCTGGCTTCCTATGAGGAATGCCACCTGCAAAAAAAAAAAAAAAAAAAAGCAAACTCTACCCCCATGCTCACCCCCACAGTGAAGGCCCTGGGAGCACAGGATGATCCTAAGAAGACAAAGCTGAGTCTGGGCTCTTTCCCCATGTGGCCCGGCATGTCGTGGGTGGAGCCCTGTAGTTGGGTGTGAAAGGTGGGGTGCACTTCCTGCCTGCTCATGGCCCTCATGGCCCTGGCTCAGATTCCATCTCTAAATCCACTTGGATGTCTTCATCATGCCCCATTCTCCCGCTGGCTGAAACCAAGCCCACAGCTCCCACAGGCCTCAGCAGCTCCTGCCCCATCTCTGCTCTCTACCCAGGACACATCAAGTTGCCCATCTGCCTGCCTGTCTCCTGTGGATGGGACAACCCCCCAACTGTAGGGTGGAGTCTGAGCTGTCTTCTCCATTGGCTGGTACATTGGCAGCACACAGTCAGGGCCTAATACATGCTTGCTTCTTGCACAAATAGGTCGCCTCGCTGGTCCCTGCCTCCGGTGCCTGAGTCCATGTCCGGGTGACTGTGAAGGAGCGTCTTTGGCTCTGGCCCCATCCCGGATCTCCCTGTGGCTGACGTGGATGGTCACCCTTACCTATTCAGCCAGGCCACCTTCCAGGCATGAATCCCCGGGGTGCCCTCCTCCCAGCCTTGCAGCCAAACATCTACAAGGGTTTCCTGGTCCTGCTCGGCCTCCTTTTCACCCTGAAAGTCTTCCCATGTGAGCCATGGGCTGCCACACTTTTTTTCAGACATTGCTTGAAGAAGTACCAGCCAATTGGAAAAGAAAAAAAAAGCCACTTTGTTTTCCTTTTAAGTGGGGGAAAATCCAATCACAAAGCAACTGAGCCATTTGCACAACTGGATCCTTTTACCACAAATGGCTTCAGCACTCAGACACGCTGCTTCTCCCTGCCTGGGTTCTCTCGGTGCCCTGGCCAAATGCAATTCCGGATGGCTGGGGACAGGGTTCTCTCTGTCTTCCTGGAAGTGTGGTTACCAGTGCAACTTGATGCTAGGCAGTGACTCTAAGTGGTGAGGAAAGAGATCTGGAGGAGTAAGTGCCCAGCAGGAATGTACAGAGGGGCTGTGCAAGCAGGTAGGGAAGGCTGGGAACCAGGGGAAAACACCCAGTGTCAGGTGGAGCAAGTGTTCCGAGCATGCCTTGGGTTTTCCTTTTGTGAGGAGCAGGTGTGTCAGGAGCAAACAAAGTTTGTGCAATTGGGGTCAGACTTGTGGCATAGTGGGTAAAGATGGCATCCCTCATGGGTGCTGGTTCAAGTCTCGACTGTGCCACTTCCAATCCAACTCCCTGCTAATGAGCCTGGGAAAGCAGAGGAGGATTACCCAAGTGCATGGGCACCTGCTACCCCCATGGGAGACCTGGAAGAATCTCCTGGCTCCTGGCTTCAGTCTGGCCTAGCCCTGGTCATTGTGACCATCTGGGGAGTGAGCCAGCAGATAGAAGCTCTCTCTCTCTGTGTGTGTGTGTGTGTTTAACTCTGGCTTTCAAATAAATCAGTCTTTAAAACAAAACATCATGCAATTGAAAAGTCTCACCCTGGTGAGTGCCAGCCGCAGATGGGGTTGAGACTCTGCTTACAGCAAGGCAGATGGCCCTTCACTTGCAGCCCATTTGCTCAGGGGTAGGGAGAAAGAGAGCCCCTCTCTGCCACCGACTTCTTTTGTGGGCCCTTTGGCTGGCCCCAGGAACCTGAGAATACAACACTGATTAACCAAAGTATACATGTGTCATTAATTTTACCTGTATGCAGGGATGTTTGTGACAAAGTCCAAAGCATGAAGCCAGTGTAGACCAAGAACGAGAACTTTGGGAAGAATGGACCACCAAGGGTGCTGAGTTCTAGGGCTGTTGGAAGTGCGTGGACAATAGAACGCAAACCTCGGCACACGAGGGGTTTTCAAAAGAGTTTGGGGATAATGTGAACTGTGCAAAAATGATGCACGGATTTCAAAATTCTTGTTGCACCAAAATAAATGTATCTTTCCATCTGCTTTCCAGGAACTTTTGGGAGTAGGCTGGTGGCTGAAGGGCATGGACTGAGTGCACTGAGTGGGTTTGTCCAAATTCACTGGCCTTTCTGGTGTTCTGAGCTTTTTCCCGGCCTGTGCACCAGGAGGTTGCTCCTCCCCCACAT